AAACGGGGAACCTCAATCTGAATTTATTATGTTATAGTTACAATAAAATAGGGCACTCTAAAAGTTACAAGCTGAATGCTTCAGATGCCTCCCTTGTCGAATAAAGCACATCCTGACACGCTGATTGAAACATACAATCACACGTTGACACTGCTGAACGGAAATCTCTCTCGCGCCTTGTGTGGTGGCTTCTCTCAAGTCTTGGATACTTTCGAAGGTGTTCACACACTCTTTGTCTTTCAAACACCCTCAAAGGTGAAAGCTCAGTGGACTCAGGTCCGGATCATTTGGAGTCCACCTAGGCTCAGTTGGACTTACTGTCATGTAACAAAAATAACAGCAGAACAACTCTGGCGTCCCGATGAACAGCTCCATCTTGTTGGAAATGCTGGTTCTGTATCCTTTCAACCCCAACAAATTTTAGTCCTGTAGTCCTGAGCTTCTCCTGAACTTAGATAGGGACACACAGTAAGGGTCAGATATCACTCTTAACTTTTCGAGTTTGTTGATATTACAGGCTGCACACTGTGCGTTGCTCGTTACTTAGAATGTAAGTTCTTTCTTTTTATGGATCTAAACCTTTCAAAACCTTCAGTCTATTTCAAAACGAACGATTCGCTTGGAATATTATATATGTTCCTGATGTATATCTGTCCCGCATTCCTAGCAAATAATGCAGCGGTCGATTTAGGAGATTTCGTTTGCGGATACAACATCACAACAAATGCACGCTGTACAGGGATGAACTGCTTTGTCAGCTTTCCGTTGTGCAATGAAAATAAAAAGAACATAATCCAGATGTATGTTCTAGTTTTGGTCAATTATGAAGTCAATTGGATCATAAACAAGAAAGTTATTCCTTGGCAAGAACTTTTGTCTGATAAGCTGGTGGATACATTTGGTTTAATATTTTTAATAAAGAGAGAATAAAAGAGATAGATAGAATTTGCTCTCATAGAATGACGAAATACTTGCAAATTATTTGCAAAGAAAAAAATTACCTCACAGACAAAGAAAATGATAATACTCACAAATAACACTGGTGAGAAAATGCATGAACTCCGAAAGAACGGGAAAACAGCCATAACGAGTGGGAAAGCACCTCTCAGGAGTGGGAACTCGCGAAGAAAGATCACATTACAAAAAATAAAGACAACGAGAGAAATATGGGAAGACAAAAAGACATTTCGTGCACGCTGATTTGGAATTGGATTAATACATTTAAAGAATATTGATAACGAAATTGAACTGAATTTCGTTGTATGCACGATCGCGTTAAGATTTTTGGGTAGGTGTTCATGGGTGGAATAGCGTGTGAACGAACGTAGAAGTACACCCACGCAGGCGCACGTGTGAATGTGTGTGTGTGTGTGTGTGTGTGTGTGTGTGTGTGT